ACGTAGCTCTTTTTTCTCATGACCTAACCAGTATGGAATCCCCTCCCAGGGTCAAAGAGATCCCCAGCCCGACTCATTTGCCACCCAAGCCATCGACACCTGTCGCACTTGAGGCATGCTCTTCCATATTCTAGCTTCTTCCTTCGGACCGTCGCCAAAACCAGCTGTTGAAGTGGAAAATTTGTGGTGCCCTTTCTTTCAGAAAAGGAAGAAAGTCTCTACCACAATCTGTTTTCATGAAAAATCAGATGTTTCTACCTCAAAAAACTCCCCAGAAAGGAAATTGCCAAGGTGCCAATGTTCCCGGGTATTTCTGCGCTGCAAACCACAAGTTTAGCCTTGGCACTCCAGGCCCCGGCAAGATCGCTGGGTATGGCTTCTGATGGCTTGAAAGTCGACAAAATAATGTTTTTTTTGTCACTTGGATCACTTGGGATTGCTACATTTCATGATATGTTTATTTTGGCTGTTGATATTCTCTAAAGAAGGGTTGAAAGCACCAACCAGTTATTCATGGTCCCCAGGTAGGGATGAAATCTGCAGATTTACCATCCGATTTTGGGAATCAATGGCTTTGTCCATGAATGGGATACCCCTTTTCATCCATTGCTTAATCATCCTTTTCCCTATTTCAAAAAAAATAGAATTTTGGGGACAACTGCTTAAACCCCAAACAAACAACCCCCAAAAGATGGAACACATGACCTCCATTGGGGGACCGACCTGCATAGGTACTAAAGCTGGGTTGTTAAGGCAAGGTTAAGGCGGAATATGACCTCCGACTCCTCCTTTCATGTGATCCAAAGTCACAGAATTGTCACATGATTTCAGCTTTTCTCCGGTGACTGTTTCACATTCCGTTGAAAATGAAGCAAAAACCAACTTTTATCATGTACTTGGATCATCCGTGGTATATATACATATATACATATATATATATATTGATATATGTATGTATGTATGTATGTATGTATGTATGCATGGATGGATGGATGGATGGATGGATGGATGGATGTACGTACGTACGTACGTACGTATGTATGTATGTATGTATGTATATATTGGTATATATGGTACATGATATAACTTTTTCTGTGTACTTGGATGCTCATCATGATGCCTTTTACGTTCTAGCAGTGTTCTTCTCCAGCGGACGGCCATCCAGGAATCACCACTAACGACACCGCTGCTTGTACCAAGTGGAAATCCATGTTTTGAAACCAAAAAAAATTGCCGAGTCTGCTATTGAAGCAAAAGAGTCATTTGAATAAACTATGGACATAGGACGTTTTGTCAAAAATAGAATTGTGTCCAAGCCACATTATGAACGGAGTAGACAACCTTCTCTTTTGTGGCTAAACGTACTCCACATGTCATCTCCCAATGGAGAGTCCATCTGGATGAACTCAGCATAGTCTCACACACCCAGTAGATCCCATTATTCCAGAAATACAGTCCAGACTTATCTCATATTTATACACGTCTATATACATCGCCATTTCTGAGCCATATAAACCATATCATTAAATAGATAGATACATATATCATATCATAATCCATATATACCATATACCACATATATATATATATACAATATATACCATATATAGATACACAAGATTTAAACTACCAGAAATATGAACCGTAGCGTATTCTGATATCTGAGGCACTGCCCGGCGGCGTTGAACAAGGGCGTCGGATCAAAGCCAGTGCTGGTGATGCAGCGCTGCAGCGTGGGGCGCAGGACCTGTCGTTTCAGTATGGTTGGGGAGGATTTTCCCTATGCTACTATAATCCCTATAAATAAATAAATAAATAAATACATATATATATATGTATGTGTATATATATATATATAATATATACATACATAGATACATATACATATATATATATATATATGTGTATATATATATATACATACATAGATACATATATACATATACATATATATATATATTATATATGTATGTATGTATGTATATATATATATTCATTTATGTTGGTCAGTGTAATCCCCAAACTAATCATCAATCAACAGGGGTTTAGCAGCCACAGCTCACATGGATCCGTGCAGATGGCTTGCTGACGTGGTAAATCTCCATGTACTCGATCTAAATGGTGTGGTCAAAATGTGGTATTGATATGGTGATTTTAGGATATTTGGAATATTTATTGGATATATTGGGATCTACTGATTGTATTGCAGTATATTGGATCTACTGATTATAGTTATTAGTTATTTGATATCATTGTTGGCTACTTGCAAACTTGGATTCACATCCAAGTCCCAAAAACTGCTGTGTTATGTCCAAAAATGAAGAACTGAATCGAAATCATTTGAAATCCACATGTCGAATCGGTCCATTTTGTTGAAACATGTGGGTAACTGAGGCCCTTTCCCTACTTTCGGCTTCATCCATATTATCCAGTTGCTTTCGTCAAAAATCGTGTCAACCATTTGATTTCCAGTCTGTTGCATGGGTCTTGAATAGGAGTCAAATCCATAATCCTGGCGTATACACATTTCAGAGTCATTGAAAAGAAAACAACAAAGCTCTTCAACAATATCAGGTTTTATGACTCTGAATTTTCTTAGTGCAGATTACATCTTCAATATCTATGATCTTCAATATCTATGATCTTCAATTGCCAACAATCTCAGTGCCGCCATTTCTGCCTGCATTTTCTTGGTGCCAGCCACGTTCACGATCAGAGCCACGCAGTTGCAATGCCTGGCAGATCCATCTGGGCCCATGCCACGATACAGCTCTCGGCATCTCATGGGATTGTCTCGGCCAGGCGCCCGGAAGTTTTGAGATTTCCCAGACGACGAAGCCTAAACCCTAAAACCCTAAACCATCCCAAACCCTAAAACCCCAAACCCTAAAACCTAGGCTCTGAAAACTTTGAATCCTAAACTGGAAAACACTGCATATACGTATATTCGACAGCACGACATTCTCAGCACGTTAATGTCTGGGCAACACTTTTCGGCGTCGGAAAGAAATTTCTCCCCCATTTTCGGATAAACCGCATCAATGGGAGATCTCCAGGATACTAAAATGGAGGTACGGGTACTGTACCATATTTTTGGCCATATGAATTGTGGGGATATCCCGGATATCCCCTGAAATTTAGGCCTTTTTTCTATGCAATCGGTACCTCCGTCCTCAATCGGATCCTGAGCCATGGCCTGAAAGAAATATGTAATCCAAGTTTTCCACTCCCATCATGTTCGGGGATGTCTACAGTCTACTCCCATTTTCGCAATGGGTGATGTTCCACTTTAGCAATTACCAATCATGCATTAATACTGTGATTTAATCTGCAACTATCCATTCATCTACAATTTTTTGGGATTACTAATCATCCATTACCCTCTGGTAATTTAACATAGCTATGGAAAATCCCCATTTTTAATGGGTAAATCCACTATTTCTATGGGCCATGGCTTCCATAGCTATGTTAGTCATAACCAGAGGGTAATCCATATTGATCGATTACTAATCATCCATATCCATCGATGACAATATTGGGATATACTAATCAATTAATCTACCATTACTAATCATTACTAATATTGAAAATCACCATGCTATTAATGGGAAAATCCACTATTTCCATGGGCCATGGCTTCCATGGCTATGTTAGTCATAACCAGGGGGTAATCAAATTATTGACCATTATTGACCACAATGATTAACCAGTTTATTGTTGGTTGTATATCCATGATTCGTCTACTAATATGAGGATTACGAATCATCCATTAATCCATATTCATCGATGAATGGAGTGCCTTGATCCCCTCATATTAATCGCGCCGTGCCGCCTTGCCTTGGTCGTCCTCCAGGCGGTACGTTGAAGAGAACCACCTGACGGTTCCGTCAAGCAGAGATCGATGGATTGATGGATCGTAACCTAGTAAACACATCATTACTGGTTGGTGGTTTTAACCATCTTGAAAAATATTAGTCAATGGGAAGGATTATCCTACAGTATATACTGCTATGGCCTTGCGGTCTACGCCAATGTGTCTCGCAGAGTCTCGCAGCATGGACTATCAGCACCTGAAGACAAACGCTCAGCAACACTTTGCCCTCTGGTCTCAACGACTTCGTCTTCTCAGGAGATTTTACTTCCAAGTTGCAGATGCTAAGACCGCTGAGGCAGAAGTAGTGGACTTGACTCTTAGTGAATCTTTTCAATGGCAAGAATTGGGTATTTCGATGGCGCTTTCAGACGCTTTGCCCATCAGTTGGAATGCTCAGCTCAGTTCATCAGAAGTACAGTTGAAGTATGCCATGGAATTTGTTTGTGCACTTTTTGATGTGGTTTTTCACATGGAGTCATCAGCTGACTCGTTTGCACCGGTTAGTTTCGTAGAGATTGCCATTTGGTGCATGCCTGAAATCAATTTGCCCTTCCCTTTTTGGAACACCAGCACTTTACGCTGGGATTTGAAGCCCTACAGTGCGGTTTTGTTGAAGCCTACTCTTGCTGCTTTGATTCAGGTGATTCGTTTTGTTTTTGGAAAAGGCCTCCAAATCCTAGGCTTGGAACACCATATTTTGAAGGGCATACGTAAGCCTGAAGCCGGTTTGATACTTCCTGCAGATGGACTAGCATGTTGTACAAACTCAACCATGCTGCGCAGTTTGGCTTCTCGCTGTTTTTCGGCCGCGGGTCAGACAAAGCTCCGAAAGGCTTCCGACCTTGCGCCCCTGGCATGAGACCTCAGAGACCTTGGCAGGGGCTGCACTGCATCGCTGCTGTGCACCACTGCCACCGAAAGCAGGCCGCGATATCCTACAGTATATATTATGGAAAAACAAAAAATGTTCCAAACCACCAACCAGTCATTATCATTATCATTATCATTCATTATCGAAACATCGATCTATGTAGTGCCACTATTATGATAGTGATTGATACTTATGTTCCCAATCTAAGATGTCCAAAAAGTGAAGTATCAATCATTACTGTATCATTCATTATCACTATTTTGCTGAGATTGGACACCTGAGATTGGACTGTTCTATCTTTTTCGGTAAGCCATTCAATTGGATAGCGAAGTTTAACCATGTGAGGAGCCTGCTCCAACTATTTACACCCCCACTGAGTTGGTGGATTACACCCATGGACATATATCCAAGTATATCAAGCTGCATCAAATCAATAGCCTGACACACCTGATACGTTACAAAGTTGTTTTCCCCATGGATGCACAATTCAGACACCATTTGGATATCAAAAAAATGTAGGACTCGGATTCGTTTCGCATATTGCCGAACCTCATCTGCTCCGGTGGACCACTCCATGCCCAGCATCAACACGTCCCAGGGATGGTGTCGCACGCGATTCATGAAGCCTGGCTGAACGAACTCCCGTGGCGGAACTCCTAGAGATGAAGCAGAGATATAGCTCGATATCAACTTGGGATCAAGTACTATAACATACTGTAAGCATTAATAGTATGGGAAGTGCTTTCAAAATGGGGATATCAGTGGGATACAGGAATTCTATGATAGGGCTAGTTTTTCAAAATACCATGATGATTCGATGTCTCAGAAACTGAATGGGAAATTTGAAGCTCAATGTTGGCAATGCGAACAACAAATCCAACAAATAAAACAACTGCCAAACTCCCCCATCCATATTCTATCCAATTCTGTATTCACATTTTCTACCTCTCCATCTTTGAATGATCATGTCGATGATAAAAACCACCACAAGTTTTCGTCATCATCTAATCTGAAAATGAGCAATCTCAAAGCTCCAGCAGTATCCACCTGTTTTCAAAATGCTTAAAATCATATAAAAATCCACGATTCCTTCCATGTTCATATGTGTTTCTTATGTGTTTCCCTCCGTTTTCATATGTTTTCCCCATCCCCAACCCCCCCAAACCCCAACCAATCGTGGCCTGCCACCTGATGCCTTAGCTCCACCAACTGCACCATTTCGCCATCCACCAGAAACATCGCGGTGCCTTCCTCCAACGCGAAACCTCGAGACGCGAACGCTTCGCTTCGCTGGGGTGAAGGGTAGCGATAAGAAATGGTATCTGGGATGAAAAGTATCAAAGTCATGCTATACTGCTATACTGTGTTCTTAACATATCGCTAATAATGATGTAAATGGATCTTTACAGGCTGGACATTAACCATCATTAACCATATAATAACCATATATTAACCATATATTAACCATATATTCACCACTGGTTGGTAGGTCACAATGGTCGCATATGTGCTACATCTCCAACTCACTAAAAACCGACACCGCGCCACTGCCATCAGCTGGCACCGGCAGCGCCAGCAGCGTCTCCAAGTACGACAGGGCCACGGGGACCTGTTTTTATCGGTCATGGGACTGAGAACTACAAACTGTCTGGTTGGTGGTTGACCTAATAGGGTTAATAGACGGTTAATAATGGTTAATAATGATGGTTAATAACGGTTAATGATGGTTAACCACCAGACGGTTAATAATGGTTAAGATTTTGGCATGGGTTAGCTTTATCTTTGGGTAGTGCGTCATTCTTGAAAACACCCAATTATCCTGACAATACTCTTGATCTTTCAAACATGATCAAACATAGGACGGGCCTGTGCTGATGTGAACCAGTGATGGAGCAACATGAACCCAAAATGTGAAATGTTGGCTGGTCAGTTCACCTTCAGACTCCGATGTTCGCACCAAAATACGTGTTGTTTATGTTCATGCTCCTCCCCCTTGGAAAATCATCAGGTTTGACCCATTACCAAAGAATCCCACCCCTAAAAAACAGAAACAAACCCCAAAAAAAAGCTAGAAACTGCTCCAACAAAAAAAAAACTGTTTAACAGAAATCCATCCTGACCGCAAGTCGGTGCCTGACCATACAACGGCGTCTCTGGCCCCACCAGGGACTTGTAGGACTGGAGGTAGGGCGTCTTGGTATGGAAGGGACACTCGGCCGGCCTGCAGACAGATGAAAACCTTCAAATGCTTTGGAGAAATGGCGTAAAAAGGATATGATTTTTTCAAGATGTTGTCAACCATGGGACAAAGGGAATCTATCGAATAGCACTCCAGATTTTATGCATTTATCAAAGTATATATATATAATTATATATATATATTATGTATATATATATATATGGATTAGGATTTAAATGCTACAATTATGAACTTTCCGCGCACCTCTTGCATCGATTTCGGCGCTTGACCTTGGCAACCGTGAAACGAACCGTGAAACCTGTTGGGATTTCCGTGGGAATTGTGCCAACTTTAGGAAACCCAGAAACCTTGATATTGTGAGCTGATTACCCTCTGGTAAACTAACATAACTATGGAAAATCACAATTTTTAATGGGAAAAGCAACTATAAATGGCCATTTTCAATAGCTAGAGGGTAAACCTTGACTCTTCATGAATCCAGTGGATACAAAACGAAGAAATCACGCTGGCTGAGAAAATTGGACCAATCTGATCGCATGGAAGGTTCGTTGAACCTGAGGTGTTGGTGAACTCTCCAGTACTTTCTCAGGTCCCAAAAATTGTAGATCCAGCAGACGAAAAGAAAACCACTGACACTGCTGTTGGATAATCCATCTTTGGATCTATTTGGATCTGCATCATCCCAAGTTTTCTTGGAGAATCAGCACTTTGGAATCCATCTTTCCAAATTGCTCCCAGGAGAGCAGAAAATGGTGACAGTAGCGACAGTTCCCCCTGGTACCGACCCGCCACATATCGTTCCCAGGAGCATATCCTTCCAGTCCAGAGCATGTGTAGCCGAACTGGAACATCAAGCACTTGGGAAAGCGGCTGAAATCGATGGCATCGGGGTTCGGAACAAAGTGAAAGGCCTTGGGCGGGCACGAGAGTTGGTGGTCATGGTAGCAGGTTGACATTGGTTGCCTCAGGTTTTTCGGCTTTGCCGGGAGGATCTTCCAGGTAGTTGGTTCGCTGGCAAAGGGAAAACCAGAGCTTTCGAATTGTCTTCACCTTTATTTTGGAAAGAGATTCCTACAAAGATTCGGTCTGGCACCAAGTCTGGGATTCAGCGGAATGGCAAATTTCCACATTTTTTCGCCCAACAAAGTCATGACCAATGCAACCCCCCGACTCTTGGCAAATTACCAAAAAAAATCATGGAACAACCAAACAAACTCAGGTTCACTCAATTCCCAGTATCTAAATCATTCTAAAACCATTCAATTCTATCTAAACCATTCTAAAACCAGTCTAAACCAGTCTAAAACCAGTCTAAACCAGTCTAAAACCAGTCTAAACCATCATTTTTAAGCCATCTTTGGTCAGCTGGGAGTCTACCTCTGCACGATTTCAAGGAACTGGGTAGAGAAGTTCCTGTGCTGCGATGGAGATGGGCATGCCCGAATCCACCAAGCACTTGGTGTACATCACCGGACCTGTCGAAATGTCGTGGATTTTCCCACTGAAAAATGGTGATGTTCCATAGTTTTTTATATGTTTACCAGAGGGTAATTGTAAATAAATGAATCCGGAAGAGTGTAGATCATGCTAGATCATGATGGATCAACAAAGCGTTCAGTTAGTCAGTGCATATAAGATCGATAGGCGATTTTGTGTTCCCAAATATAAACGAAACTAAGTGTTTTTTCATCTGTGAATCTTCCCATCTTCCCCCCTCTTCCCCCATCACCTGTGACAGCAAAGACTTCAATGTGATTTCGCTTCTGGTAGAAAGTCCTTGGCTAAGGAGAGATTTTTGGTAACCACAACGATTTCATCAAAACATGAAATAGGGGATTTAACATCGCATGGGCATATTTTTTCCATCAAACATGGCTTAGGCTTAAACCATGTTGATTTAATATAAATCCTATATTTCATCATGTTAAATCATTTAAGCAGCAAAAAATAGGGGCTTTAACATGATTTAACCATCAATCATGGGGATTTGAGCATGGAAAAATACGTGAAAAATGGTTGATTTCACTTCACCATTAACAATGGGCATTTAACCATTCACAATGGGGATCATAAGAAATATGGAGATTAAACTGTGGATACTATGGTGATTTATAGTGAGTACTCACACCTTGGAATGTCGATGGCACTGCCGTAGATTTTTTGGATCTTCCTGTCGATGGACGACCCCTTCGACGCAGACCTGTAGCATTCCTGGTTGAAGATCCCCCACTGCACCACTGCACCTCTGGATTTTGCTCAGGCCCCCACGGTTTTTTGTTGAGCACTGGGCAAGCTCACAAAAAGTTGGAACCCCAAAAACCACATAGCACCGTGGTAGGATTCAGAAAAGTGATCACTTATGACTTATCACAACAATCAGCAGGATTCGATCACTTTTCTATACTTTTCCATTCCACGTTTCTATCTTTTCGCGGACGGCTTCTCCACAACCAAACCCAGCGGAGCTTGTCGACGAGGCACTGCTTCAAGTAAAGGATCAGCATCAGAATCAGCGGATGATGAGGCGTGCAGGCAATGACCTCGCAGTGACACAACGGCGCCCCGGAAATTTCCTGATTTTGACCGAAAAAAACATCTGATGAAAATATCCTCTTTTGAAGTGTTACAAGACTATATTATTAAATGATCACCTAGGTTTCTTAATCAAATATCATCAAATATCATCAAGTATATGTATTATATATATACATTGAATATAATGTAGCTGATGCCGTTCCGCAATGAACCCCAATCTGCAAGGTTTATCACAAAAAGCAAATGGCAATCAGGATATACAATTAAATTCATCAAGGAGATGGATCCTTTGTATGCAGCCATCAGATATTTCAGTCCGCAACAATCAGATGATATGCCCTGATACATCAGTAATGTTTCAGTCCCCAATAATCGTGAGTAACTAATAGTGATTACACAATAGCAAAGACCCAGTAATAGTGATTAATAGTGATTAGTGGTTGTTTAATGGTGATTGATAGTGATTAAACGTTGGTGCCAGTGAGCAGTTCATCTTTGACAGGGCCCGGCTCGTGCGCAGATCTCAAAATTCGACACGCTTGGGCCCTAGCGGCATGGTGTTTTCCCTCCATATTCATGTTGTCGAAGGGGATTCATCCATGAACAATATTATGTTATAGCGATGATTCGATGATCATTATCACATTGACATTTTACCATTTTCTGTCACGGCTAAGTTTTCTCCCATTCACCCCAGTCGTGCAAAAAAAGAGTCGGAGTTGCCCAGAATGGAGTATGGCCTCGGCCCAGTTGCACCCTTCCATGGAGAATTGCACTTTTGTTCACGTTGAATGTGGTTGAATCCCAATGTTTGCACAGAATCTCCATGATCCCCATCAAAAACCTGTCCGATAAAAACCTCTGTTAGGTTTTTAGGGCTTCTCCACAGCGTCATGAAGTTGACGGAACTATAGCGATGCTGTTTACACAGACGATGATGGAGGTTTTCGCGGCACCCAGAAATGTGTTTGAAATATGTGGGTCAAAACTCCTCGGTTTTGCTGAAGTCAAACCCCATGTTTGTTGATGAAATCACCAGATTTTGCTGGTGAGATTGCTCACATCGCTCTGGATGAAAATGGGAACCACTTTATCCACATTTGTTTATCATTCCTAGCATTTGCCATCCCCAAATGCGGATCAAATTTATGCATAATCAATCGTTATCATATATATTATATGCATATATATATATATATCATATATCCACCATATATATATAATTATATATACACACATCATTATCATATATACACCATTCTTGATGCTTGATATCAATATCATCCGAGAAATCTGTGAATTCATTGGTTAAACCCCACAGCCATTGTCGATTTTTCACCAGATTCCCTAGGGCCCTAGGGCTCCACACTTGTCCTTGGTATCAGGTTCATAGGCGATGACGAAGCCTGTGTCCTGGCAAGTGACTGGGTAAAATCAATGGCCCTGGGCGACGCAGTGAAACCAAAGTTCCGACGCAAATCTATAATGGAAACATGTTGCTATATTATAGATAGTAGATACCATAATGATACCCTTAGATTCTAGTGTTATATTAATCACCATAATCAAATTATAATGATACCCTTAGATCATGGTATCTATATGACTCAGTTACTGCCATTTAGTTCCCATAGATTTCACGGTGAACGTGCCATTTCTGAATGGGTGAACTAATCCGGGTGACATGCAATTCCTGAAGCACCCGGGTAGCTTCAGCAAGTGCCTCCACAGAAGGCTAGGCTAGAAATGACTGGGACGACCAATAGAAAATTTGGGATATCTTTGGGTATCCAAAATAACAATCATGGAGATTGTTTGATCACCGAAAATCCGAAAATGCATATATATGCTAGAAACGAATTCAGCTATAATCAACATCAATAAAGTTATAACTCGGCGTATCCCCAATTGTACTGGTTAACCTCTCCATTGTGTTTTGGTTAAGCCCATTTCTTCAACCAACCACCAAGTTTTTGTTGCTTAAACCCCTTAAACCCGCATTTTTACCTTGGTGAAACCCCTATTTTTCACGCCCGCCCCTTAAACCCGCACCTTGCCCAGCTCCACGATGGGATTCAACGACTTCTTCCCCACCGAGATCATGTCCGCGTCCACGTAGACACCTCCGTGGTGCCAGAGAAATTCCAAGCGCAGGATGTCGGCTTTGCACTGCCACATCTTCTCTTCCACGTAGATCCTACGCACAGAAGATGCTTATCCCATGGATTGACCGAAAACGAAAAAAAGATGGGAAAACATGTCGTTGTAATCCCATTGCTATGGGATAACATATCTAATATTTGGGATAATGTCTTGTAATCCCATTACTATGCACATAGTTGTTTCATATCATAGTATCCATCGAAAAACTGAGATCCGGGTTGAAGAATGACACTAATTGGATTTACTGGCAATCACACTGGGGATCACCGGACTTCAAGGGGCTGTGCTACCCAGATTTTACTGAACCGTTCTCAACATGACATGTTTCCTCCGAATTGGGGGGCGAAGCCAACAAATCTTAAGGGGGACATCATGGCCACGACTACTGGAAAGGAGGGGCCACTGGTCGCAACAAGAACTACCCTCTGGTAAACTAACATAGCTATTGAAAATGGCCATTTATAGTGAGTTTCCCCATTAAAAATGGTGATTTTCCATAGTTATGTTAGTTTACCAGAGGGTAGTTCTTGACCGGTCATCATCCTTGGGTCTTGAACCAATGTCACCCCGAATTCTTCGTTGACGTCTCCACTTTTGAGCGTCGAAAAACCCTGTTCTTTTCGACTGTCTAAGCAGAAATGGGTCAGTCCTTGGGCCACATAAAAATTGGTTCTCAACAGTGATAGACTCCAAAAATGTGGATCAAACAATCATTGGAATGGTTTGTTTGGGAAAATCTTAACCGGAAACCATGGTTTTTACCATCAAATATAGGGCTTTCCTGTAAATTTTCCCATCATCCAATTCTATGAAACAAAATCCTACACATCTTCGGCACATCGTTTGAGATTGAAAATGCATCAGAAAACCATCGTTAGTTCACCCAGAAAGTTTGGTTGGCAGATCCTAAGCCGCGACTACCCTTCACAAATTCGCAAAAGTTGAAACCGCCAAGGAACTTCTCGTTGAACATGGGCAGCTTGGCCACGCGTTCGTCGCTCCAAATCTCGTAGCTCCAGTCCGGATGGGCCTTTGGTGAAAACCGGGGGATTTGCCCTGAAAAAATCGATGGGTTTAATATGGTTTAATGGGTTTAATATGGTTTAATGGGTTTAATATGGTTTAATGGGTTTAATATGGTTTAATGGGTTTAATATGGTTTAATGGGTTTAATATGGTTTAATGGGTTTAATATGGTTTAATGGGTTTAATATGGTTTAATGGGTTTAATATTGTTTAATGGGTTTAATATGGTTTAATGGGTTTAATATGGTTTAATAAGGTTTAATGGGTTTAATATGGTGATTATAGAGATTTAATCAACAAAAAACAAGGATGTTAGTGGATATACCCTCCGGTAAACGTTTACGTAACGAACTGGAAAGATCCACCATGTTTAATGGGAAAATCAACTATTTCTATGGCCATGTTCAATAGCTATGTAACAGTCATTACCAGAGGGTAATTGGGAAAATTGATGATGCATGGGATTTGGGAGCTTTCCCCTAAATTTTCCGACAACACAAAGTATGATAAAAATTCAGAAGCCGGGGCCCATCATTTTTGAGGCACCAGTTGGGGTATTTCCAGCGGTCAAATAAATTCCAGGGATAGGTTTACGATATTTTTGAGGCGATGCTGAAGCTCAGGATCCCATGTTTCACTCTTTCTTTGCTTTTGTTGCACCCCAAAAAAGACATACCCTCTGGTAAACGAATACATAACTATGGAAAGATCCACCATGCTAATACTCTACATCCCCACTTTATCTGGTGTGGTGCTATTCATGGGAAAGTTCACAAAATTCCAATGGTGGATCGTTCCAGTTCGTTACCCCTTTACCAGGCCGGGTACATCATCCCCCCAGCCTCCAGGTAATCGGAGCGAAAGGTATCCAGCCACAGACATGGCGGTTCCTTGGGCCCGACCCAAATCTGGTGGATGACCTTCGGAATCCTCGGAGCCAGGTCAGCTGCCAGGTCAGCTGCCAGGTTGGTCCAGGTTGGATGAAATCCCCATTGTTTTGCTGCTTGAATTGCCATGGTTGGAAGAAACTCCTATAGTTTTTGTTGGAAAAAACTCCAACAGTGAACTTCTTCATGCTGGTGAAATCCTTGTTTTTCCCCTACGTTTGCTCCTGAATACCCTGAATTCCCGATGCAAAACTTGTTTGAATTCCCACTCTTGTCTTGTGAAAACCCTGGTTGCATCCCCATGTTTTCACCAGAAAATTTCGCCAAAGCATCGCCGCCGAACCGATCGAAGACATGTAGTCCACGCAACCTCGAAGTGTGGCGGAGAACACAGCAACACTCTCGGAGAAGGGGATGATGATCATTCTCATTAGCTAACCTATTCTTAATAGTATGATAATGACAACATAGGGTTAATAGAATAATTGACCTATTTTATCACGGCTTGCTATTATTAATAGATCCACGTGGTTTTTTTTCAATCCGAGGTCAAAACATGTCAAAATGAACATAATAATTCCATGATAGTTCCACTATGAATGATACTAAGTTTGAAAAGGATATCCAAAGGTACAAGGGCTTGGCCCACCTTGGCATGACAACCAAAGTCGTCGGATCTTCCAGCAGTTTCCGGGGTCCCAGGGGGTCCCAGGGGTCCCTCACAGCACTGCGGTCCCAGCGGCAGCGCTTCCACTCCTCCGGGTTCTGCACCCGACATTCGCGGCGATCCCAGTGGTTGAACTCGCCGATGGGACCCACGTCCAACTTGGGGAAGTTCTGCAACACCACCTACCGAGAAAAGGCCAAAAAGGGCCGTGTGGTTTTCTGTGTGTTTTTGGAGGAAAAAACCAACCACCAATATGTTAGAGGTTGGGATTTTACTCCTGAGTTCTTCGAAATTTAGGGTCTGTTTGTTAACTCACCGATTTCAGAATGACGATTTGGAACATAAGACATGCTGCGGTCGGCAACAATGTCCATCGTTATCTCTTCACAAATGTTCAATCCTTGATAAGTGTCCGTGCGAGTTTTCTTTCATGTATACATATGTATACTGTGTATGTAATACCCTCTGGTTATTTAACATATAGCCATATAGCCATGGAAAATCACCATTTTTATATAATAGGTAAACCATCTATAAATGGGTCATTTTCCATGGCTTTTGATATCATCTAGATAGTTTCCCATACTCGGATTTCTCGGGCCATGAAATTGTCATGGGCTTCCTCAAGGGTCATCATTTCGGAGGCTTGGTTGGCCATTTTCGGTCGCTAAACATCATTCATCTGGTAGGTATCTTCCTAGTCATCATCCAATTTCGTCAATCCCCCGCGTGTTCTGTTGCAATATATCACCATGTCTGCCCACATCAAACATGCCACTTTGGGGAACATCCCCCGAACCCATAAATCCTACGTAAATTCCTGGTAAACCTCAAAAGAAAACCATATTATTCACGGAAAAACCTCCATCGACGCAAAAAAAGTGTTGACGTCGCCGAGCCCATTCCATCCCCAGAGTTGATGCTGAAAAATCATATTCTAAAAATCCCCAATAAATTGTTGGATTAATGGAATGGAATGATGGATTTATAGGGGATTTTTATGATGGATTTACGATTGTTGGATTAATAAATCGCCCTCCTCCATTCCATCTTTGATCCACCGGCCCACAGCCCGAGGGCCTCCATGTTCCGCTCCTCTTGTCCTAAGCTCCGCGGCACTTGGTTGGCGCCGTCCGTGCCGCCCAGCATGGACCAGCCTGCGGAGCAGTTCGGCACCAAAAAGGGCGATAGGAAGCTGTCAAAAATAGAGGTTTAAGCAGCTAAAATATGCAAAAATCCACATTTAGAGATCTGAAATAGAAAATTTGAAATTTGGATTTCACATGCTAAAATTAGATCTGTTTAAGCAAGAAGAGTAGGGATTCAAGCAGCTAAAGATGGGGAGCCAAGCATAGTTTTTCTAGGGATTTCAGCCATCAACAATGGGATGCAGAAAGAATCACTTCGAGGTGAAGTTTGGGAACTATGGGCCTATGGGATGTCGACGAGGGGATCATTGCCGCAAGCTTCACCAACCAGGGGGTGATGGTAGATACCAAATTGCACGCTTCACCAACAACAGAATTGGATGGTTCAATCGGTACAAACTTGGTGGTTTGCAGACATTCTCTTCCCCAGGTTGAGACCAGGGAGAATTGGTTGATATGGTTGGTGCATCCAGCCATGGGACAATCCTAAAAAATCACGTGGACTCACGGGGGTGAACGAGGATTCAACACAGCTTGGTGCCATTTGTTTCTCCTTTTCCCAAGGATTTTTAGAAATGTGATCCAATGACTAGAAGAAAAATTGGCACATCCTGGAACTACGAAAAAAGTCTGAAAAAATCAGTGCTTGGCTGCTTGGATTTGGTGAACTTCTTGGATGCTGGATGGGAACCCAAGATTTCTCAATGCATCGACCAAGTTGCTCGGCCGGTGGTGTAGATGTCGTTCGCCACTCTCCTGCGATCTTCGTGTTAATGGAACAAAGCCATATGGAAAAACCCATGGGTTATTAACATATGGCTGTTCTAATCTTGGGCTATTCCAATAACCCATATGGCCGTTCTAATGTCGGGGAAAAAAAATATATATGTTGCTGACTGTATACCATCGAACAGCCATATTTTCTTAAGAATTTGTTGGGCCACAGACCCAGACGCATCCAATTCCCAGCCTCTGGCTTGGCACTTTCATTTATCGCTTGTTCTAATGCAGATTCCACAGCCTCGAGGTGTGACTTTTTCAGACGACTTGCGAAGCGATGCTTCGCCGGGGAAACTTCAGCCTTTTTTGGGGGGTAAAATCCATACTTTTGCTGCTAATGAATTGGCTTAGAATTGCTACAATCATCCCAAATTCCGAAATGGTAAAATCTCAAATCCACAAAATTCTACTACTATTACTATAGTGTTTCCATGATTATCATGATTTTGAATGTATAAATCATATTAAATCCTTGTTTTTACTAGTGTTTAATCATGAAATCCTGCTATTTTACTAGTGTTTCCCCCTGACTTTCCAATGGTAAAATCATCGCCACGAGACCATCAGCTCCGCCCGCAAGGCGCTCTCGCGCTCCCGCAGCTGTCGCAGCTGTGCCGACTCCATGGCGACGACGGGACAGCGACGCTGTCGCGCCACGGGGTGCCACGGGGTGCCGGGGAAGGACAACAACAGCTGACAGCTGGGTGGTTTCAGAGGCGAAAATCATGGAAATTGGTGGGAAATCTTTGGAAAATCTGGAGATGATTAGAGATGGTGGTATGATTTTTGTTGATGTGTGATGAGGTTTTGGCCCAATACCTTCCAGTGGTAAACCCGAGTCGGCCAATAATTGGGGTGTGCACACCATGGCGTTTCCAGCTTGGCTATTTCCTCCTGTGAAAGGAGGCTTGTTTACAGGTCATCTGACTACTCTGCACTGGACAGATCAAGGTACACGATGTAAGCTTCATGGCTTCGACATGGAAGTTGAAATCACCACCAAATTTCCCTTGCAGGTTCATTTGACTTGTTATGGATTGAAAGTTGATGCAGCAGCCGAAACTGTGATGCACGTGTCTTCCGACACGCAATGTTGCGAGTGTCCCATGCAACACCATCCAGAACGCACGGTGGTGGAGCTCTGTGCAGGTGTGGGAGGTATCGGTTTGGGGGCCCTGACATGCAGGTTCAAGATTCTTGCGCAAGTGGACTCCAATTGGTTGTCTGTTGAGCATCTTCGTCAGATGGGTCATGGTTTGACAATCCATGGTGACATCACTGACGATGCGACACTGCATGCCATCCATGTTGCATGTCCTGATCAGATAGGAATTCTTGCAGCCGGTTTCAATTGTCAACCGTTTAGTGTCCAAGGGGACATGAGGGGTTTGTCCGACAACAGAGCTTCCAGCTTTTGGGGGACCCTCCGTGCCTCCTTTTTGTTACGACCTCAGGGTTTGCTTCTCGAATGTGTCCCGGGGGCAGGCCAGTGTTCTCAATTGCGTGCTGCACTGAATGAGTTTTTGGATTTGATGCAATGGCAAGCCATTGAAGTGACATTTGATTTGGCTTCGCAGTGGCCCAATTGTCGTCGTCGTTGGTGGTTGTTTGCTTTTCCAAAGACCATTTCATCCATGCCTATTCCTGCTTGGCCCATTGATCATCGACACCAGTGTATTTGCCAAATCATCCAAGACTGGCCGTTTTGGAATGCTGACGAAGAAAGCCAATTGGATTTGACATCAGAGGAATTGCAGGCATATCTTGTGGACTTTGGTGAACCAAACCGAGTGGTGAATATGACTGATCCATGCCCAACTTTTTTGCACAGCTACGGCAACAGCACCACCAGTTGCCCATGTGGTTGTCGCTCAGGACCATTTACCATGTACCGGCTCCGTAGCAGAGGATTGAGAGGATTCATGGTAATTGGCAGTAAGGGACAGATGCGATTCATGCATCCGAAAGAGATGGGCTTTTTGTTGGGTTTTCCTGGTGATTTTCCAACTGCCGCACATCTGAGAGCCACCATGTGCATGCTTGGTCAATCAGCCTCGCCTTTGCAATCCAGTTGGATGTTCCATCACATTGGCCAGATCCTTTTTCAGGACACACCTACTGATCCAGTTGCTCACATCAACATGATGAAGGAAAAGTTGTGTTTTGAAAAGTATCACACGTGGCCAGTTCCAGGAACATGTGGACAATTTCATGTCACATTGCATACTGCTGACGAAACCCCAATCAAGCTTTGGGCCACTGGTCCAACCCCGGCTCAATCCCTTTTGCAGGCCAGTCGAATGCAACTTGATTGGGGGCAAAAAGTAGTGCTCATGGATGGAAGTGTTCGAGTGCCTCCAGATGCCTTACTTCGTCAGGAAGGTTTCTATGGTCCATATCAGCTTTTGCAATCTCTGAAGCCCCAGGCTTTGACCAAGTCTGAAGGTGAAATCATGCTGGCCTTCACAGGTCTTCGAGACTTTGTTGTGGTCACCAGAACGGCAGGCACCTTTTTGTTTTGCGTCATGCACGATTTGGATCTTATGCCCACTATGCACATAATCACAATTGGTGACAGCATTGTAGCTCCGGATGCGCGTTTGTGGAACAGTCATGTTTTGCATGTGCACGGCATGGGGGAAACAACTGGGACCACCTTTGGACTTTCTTTGGATTTTCTTCACACCATGATGAAATGGATGGTCAATCAGATTGCACGGCCTGTGGACTTTGTGCTGCATGGATGGATTTTTGGTTCAGGTGCGTGGACTTCCTTGTTTGGCCCTGGTCATGTGTGTGATGTCCCATCAGGTGTCACCCATTGCTGTTGCCTTTTGTTTCGGGCACATTGGATCCTGCTGACTCTCCGTGTTGGACTTTCTGTTGAGGGCGTCCCCACACTTCATGCGGCTTTCTGGGATGGTCTTTCTGTTCCCTGTGTGCCTCCACAGGTCATGGACTTGATTTCTCTTTATGCAGACGCCTGGCAAGTGACGCAGGTCAATGTGGACATCTCAAGGGTCATCATGCAACATCAGCCTGCATCCTGTGGAACCGTCATGCTAGGGCATTTTGGACTTGTAATTGGTTTTTTAGACCCAGCTCGAGCGTTGGATTTCGAAGAGCTGCATGCCCAATTGGTCAGCCAAGATCAGCATTTGCTCTATCAGCAGAGATCCGAGCACATCGGATATGGCAAAGACCAACAATTGCTTGCACGTTTGAGCGCCATTTTGGTAGAGCATGGAGTCCCACCAGACCGAGTCGAGGAAAGGGCCACCATGGGCTTGAAAAAGGTAGGTGCAGCTGAGTTAGCAGCAGCCCTGGACTCCAACAATCCATGGGCATATCTGAAAGCCATCGGGTCACGCCCTCATGTGGCATTTCATTGGCTCAAAGCTGACGAGCTGCAGCAAAAGGTTCGTGAACGTGCCGAAAGCAAATTCAAAATCCAACACAAGCCGAAGACCACCAAGCCTACCAAGAAAGAAGGCCAAACTCCTTTGTGGCTTGATCCGGCCCAATTGCAAGTAGTTTCAGGGACTTTTTATGCCCAAGACTGTGAAGTCAGCCAGATTCCCTTCACTGAGGTCACCCGTGATGCCAGTGGTCTTGCTTTTTGTTCGGTTGCTGAAGCCATTCCTTTCTTGCGTGAGGGGAAATCGTTGAGTGACAAGCCTTTAGGGATTTTGTGCACCACGCCGGTACCCAGTGATCAAATTGGCACCATGAATGTGGTTCATCTCCGATACCCGGCTCAGTTTCGTGGCACCAATGAACCAATCCTTGTGCAGGGTAGTTTGATTCAGCTTGGGGCTCCACAGATCACTAGAGGTAGCTCCTCCCTGCCCATTTGTACCTTGGCTAGCATCCCAACACAGACATTGCGATTCTATGTGTTCCAGGATCAGTGGGAAGGGAATTGGAAGGAGTTCAGTGAACAACCAGTCCGTGCGCTTTTGACCAGATTTCCGAGCCTCTCACTGTGCAAGAAGAAGGCCAATTGTGGCGAATCATGTCCAAACTACCATGCAGCAGTTGATGAACCATTGGACAATCTCATCATGGATTTGTGGGCTAGGAGCTGGCACAAGCTTGACTCTAAATACACCAAACCCATGGATGCCAGCTACTGGAGTGTGCTTGTACGTGTTCCTGCTAGTGCACAACTGACGATTCAAGGTCTTTCAGGTCATGGAGGCTTTTATGTGGAACCCAGATCTGATTCCGGCAAATCCACGGATGAACGTTATGGCATGGTATGGTTGGGTGAATTGCCGTTGCAAGAACTCACATACAAGCTCAAGACAGTCCCAAACGCAATTGCCATCGGACGCTTGCGAACCAAATTAGGACTGAGATTCCAGCAGGCACATCTTGAGGAAGCCACCAAAGCTTTGAAGCCAGAAGAGCCATACATCGAAACCCAAGTCCATCAAATCTACAAATTGTATCCACTGCCATATGGAACTCAGAAGGCAGCTTTGCAAAAGTGTTTGACAGACTGGGGATGGATGGCTCGTGTTCGACAGTCCATGGGAGGAGGATCTGCAGGTGTTGCCTGGGAAGTAGGTTCAAGCAAGGAACCACCATCAACAATTTTGCCCCAACCATCCGGAGATGTTGCCATCACATTGATCCGCACAGTAGGCAAGACAGATGCGCCACCAGCTTTGCTTGCTTCCGCCAACACGAAGAAGTTCATGCAGAAGGCACAGCCCACTGCCACCACCAGTGATCCTTGGACCCACCCAGGTACTGACCCATGGTCGAGCAATCCATGGGGGCATTATCATGGGCCCAGCAGTTCGGCTCCTAGAGCCTCAGACAAGATGCAACAGTTGGAGGATCGACTGAAACAGCAGATGACTGCACACATTGCGGCCTCGACTGATGCCACAATGAGCCAAGACCATCCGGAGTTTGAGGAATTTCGAGCGGAAACACAAGAAAGGATGGCCAAGATGGAGTCCAGCATGCAAGAGCTTCAGGCACAAGGACAGAAGTTTGAAGGCTGGTTCACACATCTCAACCAAGCCGACCAACATCTTGCAGCACAGCTGGACATCACCACGCAACAAGTTGAAACACAGGGACATCGCATCGAACAGATCAACAAGGACATGAATCAGCAGGTGGGGACATTGCAAACGGGCCTGAACAAAGTGCAGACAGATCTTGATTCAGGCTTTAATCGCATTGAAGCCTTGCTGGAGAAACGCAATCGCACATCTTGACTAGGTCAGGCCGGCTCCATCAGAGGATGGAGGCCGGTTTCATGGACTTTTGCCAGATGCCTTTGGTTTTTCTGGCATCTTCTTTTGCCAGCGTCATGCTTGCAGCTCGGGCTTCTTGATGAGGCCACTTCCTTGAGCGCTCGGATTCATTTTGTCAGTTCTGCTCCAGACATGCTTTCAGATTCGGATGCACTTCCCTTTGCCCAGCACTACTTCGTCAGCGCGGCCCAAGGGGACCGCGATTGTGGGTCGGGGGAAGTTGCATCATCTCCATACTCAGCAGTTGGCTTTTCTTCAGTGTCTCAATTTTTGGATGAAGATCAATCTCAGAATTTCGTCTGTGTTGCACAGAATTGGGACTGTGTAGATTTTGACGAGCTTTCAGGT